ATATGCTAATGGCCTCATTAGAGTAAGACTAGTAATACACTCCATCAGTTTAGATTTTTAAATAGCAGGTAGAAAAACTACTATTGCATTAGTTTCAAAATGATTGCTTATCATGTCAGTATAATATAAATGCAGGCATTTCTGAAACACCCATATGACACTTAAAAAAACCTATTGCATATACTGATGATTTTTAATAATATTTGAGGAGACTCTCCCAGAGGTGCCAAGTGGGTTCACTATATTTTCAGAATTTGATATGTATGATATGATTAATATGATTATTTAAATATTTCTCTAGGTTTTACTAAATTAGAATAGGTGCTGTGTTGATTGTTACACTGTATGATTTATGTCTCACTGTCATCCGGAAACAGTACATAGAGCCAACCGGAAATGCTCAGTGATGGAAGGGGACCTGCAGCAGCTCACGTCAAAGAACAGGAACCTGACTAAAGAGAAGGAACAGATACAGGAAAATCACAGCTCCCTGATCAGTGACAATAACCAGCTGAAGAAAAACTTCAAAGCTGTGTTAGATAAATCACACCACCTGACTTCATATTGTGACACCACTGAAATACGTAATATAGCCCTTATTCCACAATCTTTTCTTTGTATTATTTGACAGCGTTTTATTGCATTTTTGACAAAGAGTTTGTCTTCTCTGTCTTTGCAGAGAAACCATGCCGACCGTGTCCACAGGGCTGGGAGCCGTTCAACTCCAGCTGCTACTTTATCTCCATGGAGCAGAAATCATGGAAGGACAGTCGGATTGAATGTCTTAAGTTGGGAGCTGACCTGGTAATTATGGAGAGCAAAGAGGAACAAGTATGTACTGTCTGAGAGGCTGGTCATAGTGTAGATAGTGTAACTGCTCTCCTGCTGTTCACTCATGTGATCTGAAGAGTGGGTGATGCAGTACTTTTGTGTCGCTCTATTGATTATGCTGAGATACAGTATGTGTCAGTGTGTCTCTCAGCAGAGCTGCATGAATCATTCACTGTCTTGTCTTCAGGAATTCATTAATGGAAAATATCCATATAATCACTGGATTGGACTGACATATAATACAGAGACAAAAGATTGGATTTGGCTGGATGGCAGATCTCTGACAGGGTAAGGATTCATTCAGACACAGTATGTCGATTCCTTTACAGAAAAAGAAAGAACTTTCCGTGTCACTCTTGCTCATACATGGTTTATACCAGGGCTATTAAAATCACAATCCAGGTCTGAGCACTTCTGATCTTCCATCCATCCTTTACCTGTGATCCAGGTGTGAGGAGTACAGACACTTCTCACTTACTGACCGAGTTCCGTTCCTATGACCAGGTCATTAAGCGAATTGGCCCCTTTCACATAACGTCAGGTAATTTCCGTCCTGACTAGAGGCAGGTTATCTTTATTTCCAGGTTACCCGAGCGCCGCTCAGGACCATTGGAATACAACAAAGTTCAACGCTAATCGAGTAAAAAAGGTAAAGCTGAGAAGCTGGCTGGATGATGTATACACATCCTCTGGGGCAAAGTACTGACTACATATGTAGATGTTCCCATGAAGAATTTTTAAAGTTGGCCCCTGATCTCTTTTGTTCGCCCTCACCCACAGAGCACATATTTTTTCATCCACAGAGAGCCGCAGTTTACCGGTATTTCAACCATACTGGGTTTGAGCCAACCATCTTTAGATATTGTTTTAATGTCACTTTGCACCACCTGTAGTGTATACTGTAATAAACAGTGTAATGTTCCCGCTACGTGTTTTCTCCGATTGCGACAGGAGAAAATCTATGAGTGAAACTGTACTAAACCAAACACAGAAAAGACTTGGGAGATCTCTTACCTAGCAGAGCATGGTTACAACAAGTTGGCCAATAAGTGCTAACGTTAATCATCAACGGAATTACTGGATTTGCGCCAACCATCTTTAGATATTGTTTTAATGTCACTTTGCACCACCTGTAGTGTATATTGTAATAAACAGTCTACGTATGCGACAGGAGAAAATCTATGAGTGAAACTGTAATAAACCAAACACAGAAAAGACTTGGGAGATCTCTTACCTAGCAAAGCATAGTTACAACAAGCTGGCCGATAAGTGCTAACGTTAATCAACGGAATTACAAATAAATGATACGCTAACATATATATAGGCATGTATCGCAAATTAGCATCACTGCAACCTATTACACATTATCGAACTAAAACAGTGCAAAGAAAATAAGCCATTTGTACATATTAACTAAGATATGAAGTAAAAAAAGCCATTTTTTTGAAGACGTAAGAAAAGGACCCAGGAAAACTTTAACCTTGCGCACGTCCGTGCTTTACACGCTACTTGAGGTTCCCTATCCCACAACACAAAGCATATGCATCAAACTAAAGGCGACGGATCGTGGGTTCAGTGTAAAATTATATGGCGATTAAAAAAGGTCAATTACTGCAAACAATATACAACCTTTCTTAGCCGACCCAAATAAATCAGAGACCAGAACAAGCAGAATATAATAGAAACGCGGCGCTGACGTTCCCACGACCAAAGTGCTGGTGCAGCGTACAATGGCGCTGGCCGGAGAGCTGGTCCTCAGTCCGGGCGCTAAACAGCTCGGCCGGAACATGAGGAGTCGAGGTCCAGAATTGAAGAGCCCTGGTTTGCACCGTCAGTCCCCAATGATTATTTTACTGCCCAAAGGGTTATATATAGTCTGTACTTTTTAAGATATTTTCAACAACTTTTAAGACAGAATATAAATAACAAGAACTGATAATAACTATTTCCCCTTTCATTAAATTCTTCCTGGATTAAGAAAAACGTTAACAGAAAATCTATGTAACCGGTGAGTTGCTGCTGCCTTGTTAGCAAAAGTTTTTAAAAACACTGTTATATCACTCGGTCTCTTTCTTTCCATTCTAGTTTCCCGAAGCCATATTACTGGAATGGAGACTGTGCTAGAATCCAAAGCCGGTATACATCATGGCAGCTTCAGGCTCAGACCTGCGACACAGAGGCTGGATGGATCTGTGAGACTAGAGCGCTGCTCCTAAATCACCTCTGAACAGCATTAATGTCGAGGCCGACAAAAAGTAACCAGCCGGATCATGCCATGAAAAATCGCTTCCTTTCACAAGTAATCGTGTTAAGGTCTTTTAACAGTATGTGTATATAAAATGAAGAATAATAAATTAGATTCTTATTGTCAGTGAGTAGGAATTCCTTGCCAAAAAGTGTTTTCCGTACATTTATGTGATATACGCTTGTGTGTGGTTGTGATCAGC